CGAGCGATGGGAAGGATATTGGGGTAACTTGTTCATGCAGCAATGTCCAACTTTTTTTTTTATCGCGCTGAATTACTTTTAAAAAATTTTATTTGAGTTTAGCTGTTTCACTTCATAGATGCAAAAAAAACTTATTTGATTACCATTTCTGTCATCTGCTGCTCCTCTTGTGATTAACAACACAGAACGATCAGAATTATTTCATCACATTTTTGTGAAAGTGAAAGTTGTGAGAAGAATAGAGATCTGATTTCATTTACGATTAAAATTCATGTAGTTACTACCAAGTTTTCTCAGGTGAGCAGGTGCTTGGCATTTCCCCCTAATAATTATCTACAATCTAAAACAGTCGCCGATCCTACTAGGGTTTTTTTTTTTGCAGTTTTCTTTTAATAGATAAACGCGGCGCTTCTACAATAGACATTGGTGACTCGGAATCTGAAACGAGGGTACTCAATGCGATGAACTACTGTATTTGTACTTGGAGCAAGTAGGATTGTATCTAAAGCTGTATTAGGAAACTATTAATATCAGCGTTCTCAGTTAACGTAAGTCTTTTCCAAAAAATTCGATGGAGGTCCGGGATTCAGTTCCGTTTTACTCTCTACCAGTCGATAGGCTATTGCGAAACTATAACAGTTAAAAGTGTTTCTATGAGAATAATCTAGGAGAAAAGGCTTGATTGCACTTTCTGGCTATGTAGGCATTGTCACAGGTCTATAAATTGTATAATAATAGATAAGGATGAACACTGATGAAAACGCTACTACTGAAATGTTTTTGGAAAGCTTTTGTCCTTTCAAAAAAATTTTCTTTCACTATAAGCAAATACCAAAAATCAGTGCTAGAGGTGGAATTCGATTCTTAGTCTTCACATGACTTTAGGTTTTTTGATAGATTAAGCAAGTTCAATCCTTTGATCAAGCGGTAATGCAAAATTCCTTCAGAAAAAAAGGTGTTTTGTGAGATAGTCACTGCTATGACCTCTAAATTCTCAAAGTTAATCAGAGTAACACATCATTGTGTAAATACTAAACATACACCAAATGGCGGTCAAACAATGTATGTAATAAACACCTACCAATACTATTTCCACTTTCTTCTAGTTTAAGGGGTTGAATCTCGATTAACATTTGATATTTCCGTTCCTTTACGTTGACTTCATTGTACAAACCATTTGTAAGCAAGAGATTGCGTAAGTATTACGGTAGCTCTGCGCAAATGAATCTTATTCTTCCTTCGTCAACGTACAGAGAAGTGTTTGTAATTGTTTCTGCAAAATCTTGCGTCTGAGAAATTGAGCCATTTAAAATTGGATTGATGAAAATTAGAAAAAATCCCAAATGCTCACTTGTTGAACTCCTCTTTCTACTTGTTTATACCTTTACGTCTGCCATCCTTCATGCGAGTAGAGGCAAATATTGTGCAAGATCCAATCACTTATAAGCATAATTGTCCATTATCCCAAATGCATGATTCCCTACCTAGTGCATGTGTCTTCAGTGATGCACTAAGCTGCTTTTAAAGATGTGATTTCTTAAAGAATCTATTTGACGTTAGCATTCTGAATCAGCCCCATTTTTTCCGTCTAATGATGTTTTTTATGCTCAAAAGCAAATATAGAAAGCATCTGCTTTTTTTGTTGCTAGGCAAATGCCATTTGTTTGAATTTTAGATTTGAATTTTCCTGCGCGGCCATGAAGCGCTTTACTGTATTTTTCTTCTTATGGTTAACAAGAAAGTTTTTAATTAGTATCTA